TAATTTTTTTTCATGCTGCAAAGCAAGCGCTGGAAAGGTTTCACGACTTTAACAAAGTTTCTTGCAATCAGTTGAAAACAAGTTAGAGCAGTGAACTTGTCCTTGCCCCTGGCATAACGTTTTAGTGTTGACCATGGAAACTCAAATAAATTTGTAAATAAAAAGAAAAAAGACTAACCTCCATAAAAAAATCTAACTTTCACAAAAAAAAGTTATCTTGAACAAAATATGGGGGATACAGTTGTAGAGCGTCCATTCGTGTGCTGAACCAATGTTGAGTCAAATCTGCGACAATGAAAAGAAAACGCCCGCGTACAATTAAGGGAAAGACAGAAAGGATGCATACCTACAACAGAAAGATTTAGAACGACCACGGGCAGGATCCTCTGGTGAGGCTCCCGGAGTGACTCCCTGCAATGGGCCTGCGCAGACCAGAGAACGAGATCGGTCAGAGCTTGCAGCCATAAGGTGCTTCATACCATGAAGTTCCAGAAGTAGCTGCAATTGGAAGCAAAGTGCATTTCATCTCTCTGCAGAACGGAGAGTTTAGTAGCTAGTATGCATTCATAAGGTGATACAGTCATGAATGCAGACTTTTCAATGCAGTACTATATCACCAAATTGTTAACCGTGCCGGGCAACACTAAAAACAGAGAGCATTATTCCAAACTATCTCAGCTTAAAGTTAACCACGACAGAAGCTTCAAGCCATCCTTGCAAATTCAGTGCACAAAGCAAGCCATGTGACCTTCTAGTTGGACGGCATGGTACGTCGAGCCTATAATCATGTGTCATACTGTTTTTGCTGCAATGGCTTGTAGTGTGAAAAGTGGTCCAGCTTAAAGAGATGCAAAGTATAGACGTTTGTGAGTGGGGCCCTGACCTAGTCTTCAGCTTCATTGCGAGGTGGGACGTTCCAACCGGGATGTTTGCTGCCTGTAACCACACGACCAGCTTGTGCCGAGCGATTGTTCGAGCTGAGTACATGTCCTCGACAGTGCCATTATTTGACAAGCATTGTTAAGAATGTTAAACATGACTGACTTACAGGGAGTCTGCATCTCAACGACTAATGACTTGCTATACCTAACTGAATACTGATATATTAACTAAATGCAAAACAATTACCTGGCAGACATTAAATTTTTGAACAGGGTGGGTCGGCTCCGCATTAAGTTGAAGGAGTCGATGCCTAATAGGACAATACAAACAAAAATATGCCTCAGAATTCCTTTTGGACCCCCAAAATGAGGAGTTTTTGAAGGTAAAATACACAATGTTCTTGATTCAGAAAGCGCCTCCGCTGTACAAAGGCCTATGCAGTAAGGGCACTCGCCAAGTCTATTCTCCTCAGCTCTGTCCAGGTTAAGCCGAGTTAGATTATAGTAGCACACGCTTACTGAAAGGATTAGAAAGGCAGGGAGAAGTCTCGGCTGTTTCGTCACCAGCCTCCCTGCTACCTTCGATGACGTTTCAGCGTCTCATGAGCTTCGAGCGAGCACATCCGTCCACAGCGGGGTGAAAAGCGCAAGCACGTGCTGGATAACGCCCAGCCATTCTGTTTTTGTCATCGGCTGTACTACGTATTTTTAGTATGACATATTTTTGAGTAAATGTATTGCAAATATGCAGTCCACCTTTGACCATAATACAGAATTCTGATAAGGATAACAACCGTCTATGCGTATTGCCATCCACCATTTTCCAAATAAGTGCTCCCGCCTATCGGAACATCTACAGATTGATGCGTGAGTTGGTTGAGGACTGAGAGGCAAGAAAACAAAGCGCCCGCAAGGCTTGTCTGGCCCTTTCAACCATGCGAGTACATTCGTTGCGAATTCCTGATTTCTAGCCGACATTTTTTAGAATGAGTAAATCTTGTCCACGCCCGAGGTAGACCACTGAATCGTAATTCCCCCATATTGTGCGAATCCTCCTTTAAACTGCAGTACAACCTGCAAATGAACTCTGTTGTGCTGCGGCACGCGTCCATGCTGCCTGCTCCAGAGGAAAACCACTGTTTGTGTTGAAGACGACATCCCACAACGTACAGGCTACAACGTTTAACGAACCAAGATAAAATTCACATCATTCAATAGACACAGATAGGCTCACGAAGGGACGAAACCATGATTGTTGTTGTTGGTTTTACTCTTGCATACTAACAAAAGTGACCTGCTCTTTACTCCAATGAACAGCAAACCCCTCATCTTTGTGGCCCGTATTTCATCTCAAATCGGTCAGAGAGGACATAATCGCGGCAACTAAATTTCACAAATTTAAAGGCCGCAAAAATTAAGGGCTCGCCCACATTAAAGGGTTTGCAGTATTTTCGTATGTCACATGACGTTAACATTTCAAGAAGGCAAAATGCATTGGTTTAAAAAACAATTGGCCTATGCAAAAAAACAAAAAAAAAAAAACAAAAAAAAAACGCCCTCCTCTAGGTTAGGCACGCTAGGTTCTTTTGCATTGCCTATAAGGTGGCAGATTTGTTTCAGCAGAGCTTTTGATAAAACGCAGTCTCAAAACTAGATATACTTGGCGTCAACTATTTTGTGGTGCATTGTAAAGGTTAGAGCAGCCTCTACAGTGCTTCAGTTCAGCACTTTTGTGAGAGCATGTGGTTTAGTGTTGCATTTCATTTGCATCGTCTAGAGAAACTAGAGCTGACAGAGTTGGGAGCATTCCGGAATAACAAAACGTCGACTATAGAAGCATGGAGAGGTACGCACATGCGAAGTGTGTATTTCTTAAAAGTGGATTCGAGCAAAGGTAAAAACAATATGTGTACTTACGGCGGCCATACTTGGCATACTTGCCTTCCTTAAGCATGATCACTTTTCCCTCGGTAGCACCATCCAGTAAGAAGCACCAACAACACGCCCATGAGACACCCCCGACTCCTGGATTGAATGCGACCTGCCTCAGGTCTTGGAAGGTGATCCGAAATACTCCTTTAGGCCAGATGTACCTGGCGGGGCAGGGGCCAAAAGTAGAAATTAACAAATTTATCTGAAGTGACATATTCCTATAGCATAAACTCTAGGAAAGCAGGATATTTCAGGTGAGTGATGTATTTTAATTAAACACAGAAATGGTTGGTTTATATGATGAACCAGCAGCTCCCGTTTTGCATAAGTTGCGTCCGACGTAACCCAAAATAAAAATTATGGTTACCGTATTTACTCGAAAATAGGTCGGCCACGAAAAAAAAATTCAAATATAGGTCGACCCTTTTTTTTCAGGAACAGGGGAAAGTTAGGGCAAAAGAAAGAAACAAACCTTTATTACAGCACTCTCAGCTAAATCACGGGGCGATGCCCAAAACTCCCAAAACTTAATCACCGTCAGAACTTCTGAACATGTCATTGTTCTCTAAAGCTTGTCAGCTTGGTAGACTTCCTCGCAAATTGGCAACAATACCTCACTGACACCGTTGTAAAATGACGACAAGAATAAACGGAGGAAGGTGGAGACGGGCGAAGCGACGGAAGACCAAATACAAACGCAAGCAACGCCGCTAGTCGACTCGCCATGAGCAACACGCGAGCCGAGCCGCCTCGAGCAACAAACTAAAATAAACTCAGTTCTTTTTTTTTTTTTTTTTTTGAGCGCGTTTGCGAGGATGGAGGGCAAAGTGCAAGGCGGATCACGTTCCTCTCCCTCCCATTCCCCGTTGCCCAGCGGGGGGGAACGCTACAGGCGCGATGGCGAATCCCGACGCCCGGGATGCGCGCGAGCGGCGCGGTTACCGCGGGCGGGACATCGGCTACGGCTGTTTTCGTGCACCAAAAGCTTTTTGAAAAACGGGAAGCGGCGCAGCTCTACGGCAACGCCTGCTCGGTGACTCAATAGCTCCACGCCCCCGGTAGGGTCACAAAATTTGGTCGCGAATGGAGGTCGAAATTCTTTGGTCACGATTTCCAAAAAAAAACAAAAAGTCGACTTATATTCGAATAAATACGGTAGTCAGCCGCGCGACGAGACACACATTGTGAAAGCGATGGGCGCAAGCGACCAAAGCGATGGGTGCAAGCGACCAAGGCGATGAGCGACGTTTTCTAAAACCCAAAAACCGAGGGACGCAAGCAGCGACAGTGAGAAATCTTCGTCGCTCGTCGCCGGCACTCGTAGCTTCACGCCGTCGCTCGTCTCGTTGATCGCTACATTGCCGTGCGCAGACTTGCAAAAGGTTCTCGTTTATTCTTGCTGCGAACTTCTATCGATTGTCTCTGCTTTTGTTGTCCCAGAAAGTGCGTGTTCATTCTCGCCCCTAGCGCGCTACGCTCGAACCTTCCCCACCGAATTTTCGAGATAGTGACTCACTCTAGATAAGAGGCCGCCCGCGACCTTGTCGAGTCAGTTTCTCCTCAGCGTTCGATCCTGCTGCTTCACCGACTTTGACGCCCGCGACGCTCTGTTGTTATCTTTTGTACCCTTTTATTTTTGGCACAAGTTCGCCACATTAATGGGAAACCGAACTGTGAAATCGGGTCGACGTTTTTGGTCTTAATCGCAAGAATGGCACGTCATTTATTTTTTACTGGCGCTATTAAAGCGAAAATACCACGTAAATTTTAATAAACCGGAAAATAAGCATTTTAAGGTGCCCCTGGTGAGCGTCTCCGGAACCTCGCTTCGTGACGTCAAAGAGCTCAGAGACCTCGCGCAGCTGCCTCAGGAGACGCGAAAAATCACAACTTTGTTGGTTTGCTGTGACATACCGCGTCTACCTCGAGCTCGGTGGCGTGGCCGTTTGTTATGGCGACACGTGCGTGCGCCAAGAGCGTCAGCAGCAGCAGCAGTAGCTGCAGCGGGAGCGACGCAGTACCTTCGGATGAGGAGCGCGAGCACCTGCCAGCGAAGAGGCGTAAGGTGCTGCCTTACGCCTGCGACCCGTCCGCGACGTCGGACAGCAATGAAACTTCACCGGAGCCTGCAGCGGAGTCCTCGCCAGACGTTCTGCCGCGAAGTGACAGGCGGCGGCTACGCAACACACGCTGGTAAGAACACGCGCACATGGCGCAACGTATGTCTTGGATAGGCCCGGGAGAGCGATTGTTTTGGGGTTGCGCGAAGTTGACTTGCAGCCTCGAAGAACCGAATGGTTTGGGGTTGCGCGAAGTTGACTTGTAGCCTCGAAGAACCGATGATAAATGGGGTTTTATATATTATGTCATCAGGTGTACTAGCGACTGACATGCTCTTGGTATCGCCGAGCGGCGGCGAGTAAGCTCCAACCTGAACTTCTCGGCTCCATCGTTTGGGCTACAGAAAGATGCGCCTCCTTTTGCTAGAAACTGTCAGTGCTAAGGCAGGGCTACCCGTGCACCTGCCCCGCGTAGGCGCGTTAGAAACTGAAGATGCGTCAGCTGCGTGCGGGCTTGAACCTGCACGTAGTGCCGATGCACCGTCGATGTACTCACGCGCGCGCTGTAGATGTTTTTTCTTTTCTTTTTTTTTTATGCACGTGTTTGCGCAATGCTGGGCCCGAGGTTGGGCACTCAGGCCTTTGTGGCATGGGCAGCACTGCTTTTTTGCGGCCCTCTATGCCTGGGTCAAAGATTCCGGAATATGAATAATGTATTACTATATTATTATACGCAAAAATGTAGCTGCTGTATAGTGACTGCATCGCGGTTGTGGATACTCCCAAAAGGCATCTGAGGCTTGAGCAGTGTTTGGGTGACACAATTGGATTGAGAAAAGAAAGAGACAAAGTGTGTAGCCACACCAGTGCCCACACAGCATTACAGAAATGTTGACATATGCACTAATTCATGTTTCTACCTTTGGGAAACAGGTGCTGCTGCGAATCCCGGTGTGGCACCATGTCCACACCAGTGGAAAGTGTGTGCTGCAAGGAGCAGTGCAAGGTCAAAGAGAAGGCTGGGAGCCTTCCCTGCATTACAACGCATAGGCTCTTCGAGCTATACTGCCTGAACAGAAATATCCTGGACCTAGAGTACAGGAAGCTGAGAGTCTGCCGGCCTCTCAGCACGAGAAACATAAAGGAGATAAATGCGTACGTACAGTGAAACTAAATTACCATACCTTTTTACTATCAAGTGCACCGCTTTGTAAATAAAGGGAGAATGTAAAGCGAGATTTGCATTAGATGAACCAGAAAAGGCAGTGCCTCAATGTTGGCAATTGAAGTTTCCGACACAGGCTGGTTTTTATTGGTGGCCTGAAGAACATACCCAAAATTTAGAAGCAAACCATTCATTACATGCTTGCTCGCTCGAATAAGCATGTTTTAATGAAACTACAGCTTGTGGCGTCTTCCTGCTGGCCATCGAACTAAAAACAAAAATGCCTTCTAGTTCCAAGTGGATACCTGGCAGTGTAACTAAATAACTTTATTATGTTATTGCAGTAAGTACAGGTACACGGCATACTGCCAATTCGTTTGGTGGGTACACGGAAGGCTAGGAAAGGAGAACCGGGTCACCTTGCCCAGCTGCGTGGTGACCAGGGTCCGCAAAGAGTTCCCCGCCCCGAACCCTGCAGACTACACGGGCTTCAAGCAGTCGTAGTGCTGAGTAAGTTCGCATGCTATCTACCTTCAAACCTCTTAAATATGTGTATTTTCCTACCAAGCACTTGGGAGCAACAGCTTGCACGAGCACTACATAATTAATGTTAGAATGAAGAGATAAATATTTGACATATAAGAAACTCACTGTTTATTGCAAACTAACCAATTTTTTACTTTACAAACAATGTGTAACAACGATCACAGACTGGAGACGAGGAAATGGGCCAGAGACGTTTTGAAAAGGAGCTCATGGCAAGGAGCTAGTGGCCTGGGAGCGCGAGGCCCAGGGCTTGTGCTCGGAACACATGAGATTGACACGTCAGATCGAACTGCTTTGTTGCTTGTGCATAGTGTAAATAAATGTTTGCATCAACGTAACCAACAATGACCACCAGAAGTTCCTGCATTTTGTGCGGAAACCCGCTACGTAACGATTCAACGAAGGGAATCTGGTAGACCGAAGCAATACCTATCGAACGACAGAAGCAACATTCCATCGAGACAAGACTGAAAGATCACGGACATCCTCAAGAAGAAACGCAAGAGTCTGCAAACACTAGTAACGAAACTCCTCAGCGAGGCGAAAAAATTATTTCAGCTGACTCTGGCTGTCATCGATGACCTAGAGATTTTGATCGAGTGCATAAGCCTCTCTCGGGATCAACTCGGCCACGTAGATGCCGCGATCGAGCCTTTGATTACCGAAAGAGACGTGGAAATGGAGTTCACGCAAATCGTAGATTATACCGACTAGATTGTGACATGCCTCACGAAGCTCAGAAAGAAGGCGAAAGGCGTGGAGAACAGCCAACGAGAAAGTGGTCCCTCGAACGATTGGAGAGCAACAGCCGTAGAAAGTCAAGCTTCCAAAATTAGAACTTATCAAGTTCAACGGCAACCGGAAGAATTGGCAAGCATTCTGGGAGTGAAACCACAATCCACGAGAATCCGGAACTGACTCCATCGGAAAGGTTTAATTACCTGAGATCAGCGCTTACCGGAGATGGATCAGCTGCCATCCAGGAACTACAGCCAACCGCTCAATGCTATGCGGACGCGATCGACCTTCTACAGCAGCGGTTCGGCAAGCAAGAGGCTCTGGTACACGACCACATGAAAAGTCTGATGGACATCCAGAAGGTACCACTACAGGGCAATGCCCGAACCCTGCGTCGTTTGTACGACAGTCTTCAGGCGCACATCTGGGGACTTAGAGCACTGGGTGTGGGCGAGGAATCCTACTGCGCCATGCTCTACTCGCTCCTACTGCGAGCACTACCGAAGGACATGTCCCTGGACTACAGCCGGAAGATGTCGTTGGAGGACACCAAGAACGCCACCGCAGTGACGGGCACCAGTCCCGAGTCTCCAACAGAGAATGTTCATCTAAGAGCTCTACGGACTCTACTCAAATTTATTCGAGTTCAAGTCGAGAGCCGGGAGAGGACGTCAGAGGAACAAGAGGACGACTTTGGCGGTAAGCCTGCAATTCGTTTCCCTAAACAAGAACTGCCGAAGAAACTTTCAAACTACACGAACCTTCGAAACTCTACCGCAGCGGCCTTGCATGGCAAGACTGAAGGCTTAGAGTGTTTGTCCTGCAAATCCGAAGAACACGCCACACCTGACTGCAACGCCAATATTGAGCTCACTGAGAAAAAAAAAAAAAAAAAAAAAAGATTACAGGCTGGCAACAGATGCTTTCGTTGCACCAGGGCCGGTTTTCTCGAAGCGATGGTAAACTCATTTTGGTAAACCACGGTGCCTAGGAACGGAAAAGTACCTAGGTACTGTAATAAACGGCTGGATATAGAACAATAATTATTTTTGATTGGGCAATAAGATGCGCCCTCTATCGGTGAAACAAGCCAGTCATTTTGTTTATCCTCTTTTTCCGCTGGTTGCCATCGATCTAGTATGGTATTTTAAGTCAAAATATAGTAATGTTGTACATGAAGACCAATTTATTTGCTTCCGATGGTACGAAGAAATTTTAGCTACTATTCTAGAGTGTTTTCGACGAATATTCGAAAATGTAAGAAACATTTCCTTCAATATGTTTGGCCATAAACAACGCATAACTTTCCCGTGTTTCTTCCAGTCTGGCAACGCCGGTGCTGTAGTCTCGTTTTCGTTCCTTGCGACGCATGTTTCTGCGATTCTGATCTCAACTGTTTGCCATCTCTTCCGTCTGCCCAACCGATTCACCGGTGACAAGAAGCTAAGCTTCTCGTCACCGTTGAATTGCTGGCCACCGGAGATATGTAGAAACCTCAATGCTGTCGGCATACTGTCGGCGCACTGTGAACAAAAAAACAGTACAACGAAGACTTTATTGAGGATAACCCCCTTTCTTCGCAAAGTAATCGCTGCTCACGACTTGGTGTGCATATTGTAACAAATAAACATATTAGTATAAATAAATACCTACACTCGTTCGCAAACCATTTTTTTTACTCACCATAAAAACACTTGCAAGGCTTATGTACCGTCATATGTCTTGGATCCCGGACTGCTGAAGAGTGATGCGTTCGCGGAATGCTACCGTTGGTTAATTTAGTAGTCCCTCTGAACTATCGCTTTGCTTGACGTGCTAATAGGTTGATGGTGCGTCATTAATATAACAGCCAGATCGAAATTAATGTTCAGCAGAACCAAGCAGAACTATTAGCCCTCATTCAGCGACGCCGCGGCCATTTTGCTTCTAGGTACTGCTCCTCCCTCGGCACCCCTGCTCTCCAATTCACGTGACCTGGAATTCCCCCTTCTAGGGACAATAGTTAACTTTAAACCACGGTTCGCGTTCGAGAAAACGGGCCCAGGTGTGAAGGATGGCATGCGTCTACTATGTGTGACCCGGATTACGTACTGGAACGACTTTTCGAAGTGAATAAAACAGAAAGCGAAGATAAAACACCGGTCAGTCTTCAGATCAATGGAAAGAACAGCAAGCCAGCAGTGTTTTTGCAGACGGTGACCGCATCGGCCGAGAACTAAACCAAAAGAAGACTATCCCAAATTCTTTTTGACAGCAGCAGTCAACGTTCCTTCATTGCGGAGGAGCTGTCCCAGAGACTCGGTTGCAAACAACTCGGGATGGAGATCCTCACGTTCGGCGTGTTCAGAGGCGAAAGCACCGAACGTACGTTTCGCAGGGTGCAGGTTACTTTGCGGGACCAACGGTACAACAAAGAATATGAAATCGACATGCTAGAAACACCTACCCTCTGCGAACAAAATCTCCCGAGCCCAGAGTAATCCATCGTCGCGACATTAAAGGAGCTTGGTTGCTTAGTAGGAGACGCCATGACCGGACTGGAACATCGGGGCATCGATATCCTGCTTGGGCCGGACCACTACTGGGAGTACATCATTGGAAAGATTCACCTACAGAGGAAGCTTGACTGCAGTGCAGCCCGTATTCGGATGGGCGGTTCAGGGACTAAAAGGGTCAAGCTCCCCGGTTATTAGTTGCTCCAGGGTGGTCGTGCTGAGAACGGCGGTTCAAGAGCCCGAACCCATGCCAAGCCTCAAGCAATTCTGGTAACTTCAGAGGATGGGTGTCATTGACGTATCGGTGGACGATCCTTCGGACAACGATGTCATGCGAGACTCCGAAACCATGATCGCCAAGACCAATGGGAGGTGCGAAGTCGGCCTTCCATATAGGGCAGACATCGGGTTGGCAAATGACAAGGTTGCTGGAATGCCACAGAAGAACTCCAATGTGTGACATGGCACCACCTGCCGGGAAAGGAGAACCCCGCCGACCTCATGTCACGAGGTCTGACCACATTTGGATTGGTCTCCACTCCACTTTGTTGTTCGGGGACCAGTTGGTTGCCGCTGCCAGCTAAAGAATGGCCCAAGGAGAAGCGCGAGGGGCCACCTCGATATAAGCTCGAGAAGACGGGACGGAGAGCTGACATATTGGACATTTCAACACCATCTGCATCATTGCTTGATGTCACCACATTCAGCTCGGCTTCAAAACTCAACAGAACAAGAGCGTGGAGGTTTCAATTCCTTCACAACGTCAGGTTAACGGGAAAACAATCGGGGCCTCTGACTGCAGAGGAAATCCAAGGAGCGCGGACATACTGGCTAAAAGCTAATATTGGCGTTTGCTGCCCAGCTTCGACGTGCGACCAGCAGAACCGAGACCCCATCCACTTCTCCTCTTCGAGACTTCAGTAGTTTCATCAACCAAGAGGTAGTGCTTTGCATAAGAGTGCGACTCCGATCGGACAACATGACATATGATGAACGAAACCCTATCGTACTACTGAAAGAGCATCGATATTCCACGGTACTTGTGATCGACGCTCACAGGATGGTGTTACACGCAGGAGTAAAGCGCGAAACACATGTACAACGAAACCGTCCGATCCGACGTCCGACCGCGCAATACGACGGTCGGAGGCGAGGGTTTTCAACGCTCTCCGATGCTACGAAAACCCTCGCCCCCCAAGTTCATTCCGGCAGTCTGCACGTCGGATCGGAAGGTTTCGTCGTACATGTGTCTCCCGCTTAAGAGACACTCCAGTCCAGTTCCGCGAGAGGTATTGGATCCTTCGGGGTACGAGAGCTGGTGAAGAAGATGCTGCGCTGTGTGTAACGTGCCAGCGATTTAGTGCTATTCTGGCGAGTGCTCCAGTGCTCCAGCGGGACCTTTACTGCGTGCGAGAACGACACAGGCTGAACCTTTCGAGGTAGTCGGTGTAGATTTTGCAGGACCGCTGTACATACAGGCAAAGGACGTCGTACATCACGCTGTTCACTTGTGCAGTCGTGCGGGTGGTTCACTTGGAGCTCGTATCAGTCGTTTCAACGAGAAGTTTTCTTGTAGCTCCCCGTAAGTTTGTGTCATGGAGGGGACTTTGCCGCATCATCTACTCAAACAATGCGCTAACCTTCAAGCAAGCCTCGAGAGACCTGGCAGAACTTCGGAAGATCCTACGACACTCAGAAGTGGTGAATCACTTCGCCAATGCGACAATCGAGGGGCGTTTTATTGTTGAGCGTGCTCCTTG